TGAGCAACAGTCACAGTTCGCACTATGGGCTATGTTCGCCGCTCCTCTGTAGGCTGAAATCGAACCCCTTTGCGTTGGATGAATGTGTGGATGGATATTCTACTTAGCGGGATCTTCCACTGTAGGTATATGACTGCTGATCTACGAACGTTTCCTTCGTGGGCTCGGAAGATCGTACAGAATAAAGAGATAATAGCCGTCAACCAAGACCTTCTAGGGAAGCAGGTATGAGTTTGGTTGCTCGACCGTTGCTGCTGTGATGCTGCGGGCTTTGACTCCTTCGTAGGGTTACGTAGTGTGGTCAGAGAAGCGTGCGCGAATTTGGATCAAAGAGCTTACCGCCACCGATAAACCTGCCGATACTTGGGCTGTTCTCCTAGAAAATAGCAATTCTATCTATGGCCCTAAACGCATAGTTCTACAGCCAGCTCGACACATACCAGGATGGGCTGAAGGCACACAGTAAGCGCATCACTAATCCTCGGTCTTCGACTCAAGTTCTGACATGATATTGATCTGGTGGGTTGACCGACGTGTTCTAGTAGTGAGAACCTCCCATTCGTTGATATCGAGAGATATAAAATCGATCGTTACCAGCTTCGAAGGGAATTTCCGTACGGCCTGTGAATCGTTCGACGTCCGTCTCAGGTTTAGCGTGAGAGATTTATTCCGAGGCCGAGATGTTGGTGTATTCGATAAGGCGTACTCCGTTGACGTGGATACCTCCTCTGTTCAGTTCGTCATCATCCGGAAGGTTAAAGACGAAACCATCTTGTTGTAGCTATCCATGATGAGGACTCCATCATCTCTCCTTGCTGTCCAATTCGTAGACAGGGAGCCTGTAGGTCACCTTGTTACAGTAAGGAACATGGGCATGGGTACCAAGCATGCGCATGAGTCGATTTATTCTGGTTAACTTGATTGTCGATCTTGTAATTTCATTTCTCAAGTCCACTCTCATTGGTATCTACTCATTATTTGACTTGTCAACTTCTTGAGAGAACAAAAAGGTATCACAGTGTTTGAAACACTGTGATACCTTTTTGAAACACTGTGTTTCGCTCCTGGCTCTTGAGAAGGTCTCTGTGCTGAGGTTGCTCTCGCATAGGTCTTCTCCTGCATAGGGCGCGCGACTGCTTGAGTCGTCGTTGCCCGAAAACTATCGGTCGGGCTATGTATGTGCGTGCCCCATTGCTCATTGCTCGTGCTTTGGAAGCCTCGCGAATCGCCCATTATGCTTCTGGTCGGACTTATTGATTCATATGATACCGGTATAAGATATTATCACCCTCATTTCCTAATGAATGACTCCGAACCTTAAATGATCCTGAGTTGTCACTGGGAAGAACCATACTTGATCCCCCAAGACTCTACAGTAGAGAAATCCAGCCTTACGTGGTGTTCTGAGTATCACGGTGATACTATCACCT